AAACAAGGCGCGAACACTTGCTTGCCTTGGAATCACAGGGGCTTTGATGGGCATATCCATAGCAGCTATGAAGTCCCTACTGGTAAAAGGGGGAAGGGGCGAGAATAGGATATTATAAACTGCCAGAAAACTTGACTAGCGTATTGGTTAGATCGAGACAGCAACATTTTAAATGAAACCAGGGATACTGAATGGATGATAGCTTCTGACCATATGATACTCAGTTATAGGAATAGAGTACCTCTCCAAGTGGACACATGCACACGAGTGGGACGGAGCAGAGGAAATACACAGCCCAGGCTGCAAGGTTATACATGATACATAGAAGGGTCGGGTATAGGAATATTCGGCAGCGATTGAAAAGGAAAAACATTTCTTCTATGTCAGTATGAGAATATACCTCTGTATTCCAAGCAGATTTGTGCAATTTTACATTGTACAAAAGAAATTAACTTAAGGCCTTTCGAATTGAAGCGAATAAATATATGCAGTTAAGCAGCTATGGAGGCTCTTTGAATCCCTAATAAGGTCTATAAGGTGGTGTGTAAATTCTTAGAAGAACTCGACAGTCTGGCGTAACATAAGACTTACATATGACCGATTTCACCAACGATAAGTAAATATTTAAGAATTACCCAAGTGGACTTGGTACTTCCTAACTCTAAAACGGATTTCACCATACGCTAAGAATTAAGCGGCCTAAACCGATTAAGCATTACCTTATCATAGGATACGTTTTGAGATCTCCCTAAACACTTTAGGTATTACTTAAAGATGGTTTTGACGGATGTACTTGTGAAGTTTGTCAATAATTTGCTTCTTATCTTAAATTTGTGTGTTGTTATTCCGTAGTTAATTGTATTTTTGTATTATTTTATATTAATAAGTATTGCGTCGGTATTATTCGGTATAATATAGACTCACTAGTTTATCGAAAACCTGGATCGGTTCGAATCGTCATCTGATTCTGAACAAGAAACAGAACAAATTGTAACAAATAGAAAATGATTTGTTTATTACAGACAAGTATAATGTGCAAGTTTAATACAAAATGATACATTAAATTTCCTGCTACAGATGAAGAAATGACTAACATTTTTATAGGAAACTAGGTTCCCAAATGGATGGTCCCATGCCAAAGTGAACCAAAAGTCGAAATTGAAAATTTTCAGTACGACAGTTATATAGGTGTTATAAAATATACACAATATATTATAATATTTTTTAAAGTATAAAAGGTTCTAAGACCTATTCAAGAAAACATTTCTTTAAATTTTTTAGTAACAGCACATGATTTTGTATACTTTTAAGGCTCTTTTATCAGTGTTTGCAGTACATGGTTCAGTTTGGCAAACTTTTTAGCATTCAGTTCTGTTTGGCATGAGAAATATAAATAAATCGTTATTTTTGTTTGTAATCAGGTTTATTAACACATCATTAAACTTGAATTAATAATACATAATAAAATAAAAAAAATAATAATAGCAATATTTAGATCGCATTGTTCATCTCATTTTCCTCTTCATTGTTATTGTCGTTCTCTTCTTCCATACCATCTTCCAGTACTTCACTTTGTTGAAGTTTATTATAAAATTGGTGATGGTAAACTGGTACGAATTGCAAAAGTGATCTGATATCATTAAGTTTTGCTTGACTTAATTTTCGTCCTTCAGGATAAAGAATGCTTAAGTTTAAAGAAACTAGGTTTACAAGTCGGTCTTTCAATCTCTTATGTATTGCGATTTTCCAGATTTTGTTTTAATGCATCCATACTCTTGAAATCCTCTTTTTCCACGCATACTACTTTAAATTTCTACTTTTTACCTATTGAGTTTGAAATTATGTTATGCCATTATGTAGGCACGTAAATTTCAGGATGATATTTTAACTTTTTTTTCTATATCACTATCGTTTTGTAGATATGAATGTCCTGGCTCAGCAAACTTATGAACTACTTCCTTTAGGTTCAAATGAGGGTAATGCACTATGTACATCCATAACGCGGCAATATTAATATTGCGGTTTTGGCCGCCACATGAGTCGGACCAAGCAATCAATATGTCCTTATGATCATGGGTGTTTATGGATTTTAAAATACATGATCATATTTCCTGAGAACCTCGTGACGAAGTGCTCTCATCTCAAACATGCATTGTCCCGACATAATTTTCAAAATTATGCATACCAAGATTCTGGCATGAAAGCTGTCTCTTATAATAAACAACTACTGTGGTTAATTTAGGAAGAAGCATTTCTTTCTGAAGATCAAAACTAATTACTGTAGCTTTCCCTTCTTTACGTCTTCATTTAGCTCTAAGCGAGCTAACTGTACTTTTCTGTGGTATAGTTCCTGGTTCAGTTTCGTAGTTTTTAATATTGTTTCATCTTTGATTTCCCCAGCTACTTTTATTTCAATGTTCAACCTGTCCCATGTTTGACAGGTATCTTTTCGTGGAGGTTTAAAACGAAGATTAAAATCACGTTTGAACACTGTTTCATAAAGCGATTGGCTTGGAATTTTGTCGACATTTTTCTTTCTGAAACTATCAACATCAACTATCAACAAACTCTATGCGATTTTGATTGAATTCATTGTGGATGGTGAAGTTTTGTTGAGGCACTTTTTCCCCTCTAAGATAACCTAAATTTCCACTTTTTTCTTAAGCAAAGCGCGATGTTCTCTACTACTATTGATTTGTAATATTTCCATAAACATTTTTTTTGCATACTTTAATATCTCCGTTTTCAGAAGGAATATAAAATTCACGATTTCCTGTTTTTTTTTTTAATGTCAGTATTTTTTCGACGTCTTATTATCGTTCTACATTTTACAGTACCACTTATTATGCTCGTTTGAGTTTCCCAAGACTGTGACTCGTTATAAAACAAATCAAAAACTTTCTTTTTGGTGCGTTGTAAGCTTATTTTGGAATTTCATTTTGCAATTGCAGGAATAGTCATTAAAATATTTAGAATGTATGACAGTACCTGAAGTATTGACATATTCTTTACCAGCTGCCCTTTTTATCTTGCGATAATTTTTTTCCACTTCATAGGATTAGATTTTCTTTTCTTGTTTTGAGGCTCTTCCTGATCTCTGGTATTTTCTTTATCTGCAAAACACAAAATTATTCATATTTTATATACGTAAATATTTTACAAGTAACGTTACTTTTTTATCTATGTTATAATACATAAAAAATACTTTCCAACACACATTCACTATGCATAAGACAGGCAATTTACAAAGTGAACTATGTGATTTTAATTTTTTTTACAATTCCAATACAAAAATGATGGGATATATTGCTTCATTCTAATATAGATAGGTAAAAACTATGTTCGTACGTTGGTACAACTGTTAATATTTCACTAGCGCTCCCAGCGGACATTGAAAAGGATACATTTTCACATGGTTCACTTTGGCAAAAGAAACTTTCCAAAACATAACCATACTTCTATAATGAAGTTTTATGCCAATAAATATTATTATCTTACCTGATTCTGTAATATCCGAATCAGAACTTGGATGGTAATCATCTGAAGATTTACTACTGAAATCAGTACGTTCATCTTCATTACAATGTTACGACAATATGAACTATGTGCATGGGAAGCCATCTTGGATTAGATGATGGTTCACTGTGGCATATGACAACCAGTACTACCACACTTGTGCTAAATAGAATTTATTAGCTCCTAGCTGACGTTTCGTTTTATTCACATAGTTCATTTTGGCATAAGTTTAGAACAAAAGTTTGCATCATAATGGTAATGAAAAAGTAAAAACGAAGAAAATGTACATAGTTCACTCTGGCATGAGACCATCCAAATGTACTGGACACCATGATACTATGAATAACAAGATAGGATCTTCCCGTAGCTCAAAATCGGTCGGGTTCGCGCATGCCGTCATTGGAGACTAGAATTTGAATTCTTGTTAAAGTTAAATGAGATTTGTATGCATTCTGTGATGAGATTACTAGACGAAAATAAGTTAAGAGGTTTAATAATTACAATAATCGTACACATAAGGATATCTCCAAACTATTTATTAAAGATTATTTATTGATATATACAAAAACTGACATTTCGAACGTGCAAGTCTCCAATGACGTCACAAAAACATGCGCAAAATCTTATCTTATAGTCATAGTATCATGCTCGACACTTTGGATTGTACCCACATTAAGATTGAAAACACAGGTAAAGTAATAAATCAATTTGATAATAGTGATGTTATTTACATCTTATAATTATAGGTGGAGATGATGCAGAGCTGTTTAGAAACAGAAAAGGCTACTTTTCTATAACTTACAAAACTAAACAAACTTAATATACAAAAATAACACGACAAAACTGAATAAAACCAATTTGGCAAACAAACAATTTAATAATAACAAATAAAAAAGTAAGGTTATGACATCCTATTCTTCTTTTTATTTATCAACAATAGTTCAAGCGTACCCGAGTTAATACCTAAGAAAGAATTTCTTAGATAAGCAATTCTTTTAGTTGTGAAACGCTATTGTTCCTAAGTTGTAACTAAGAATTTTCGATAAGAATTACTTCCGAAGGCAACTGTTTAGATATCGTTGGTGAAATCGGGCATTAGGCCCACAGTCGAAAAGCACCACTATCACGACCAGAAAAAAAAAAGCCGGGATCCGAACACAACCACAACATAACTCTTATTGGGAAAATATACCCGGTGAAGCACATGGCACTATGTGTATTGAACGGACAAGCGCTAATAGGGCTGAGGAAAAGAAGCAGGAATTAGGTCAGAGTCATAACAGGGTTCCTTACTGGACAGTGGGCATGCGCCAGTCAAGGTACACCTGCATAAATGACTCAAGTGATTCCAAAAACATATGACACCCATCCACTACACTTGTACAAGCGGTACAGAGTTTCAGAATTTTAGAATGGGTATTATTAACTAGTATTAATATTAATGGGTGTTAGGATTTAAAAACCAAACGTTGATGAAAAAACTTGAATAAAGTTCTTTTTACAAATAATTTTATAATGCAAATAAATAAATTTAGTATAAAATGTTCGCACATATACAGTCTTTGACATTCATATTATTAAAAAGTATCATTTTTGTATATAACTGAAGAAACTTATTTTATTTACTAATTTGTTATAATTTACAGAATTGGAACGATTTAATATATAGCTTACAATACAATTATGAACTGTACATATAAAAAATTACTTAAAATACTTAAATCTTATAGGTTGCCCTTTAGCGCCTCTTGTAATTTCTTCCTCGCTAATGCAACTCTCTCCTCTTGCCGTTTGATATCATCCTCTGATATATTAACAGCATGTACTAATGGTTGTTTGGGATCGAGAAATACTCCTGGATTTTTTTCAAGCAGTGTTTTTGTACTTGTCTGACCTGTTACAGGTTGAGAAGAAACATGGAGTGCTGTAGCAACACTCTGGATAATGGTGTCTTCAGTTACATTAGGTCCAACTGGTTTTAAACCTAGAAATTAAAAAACAAAATTAAATAACAGAATGTCCATAGATACTCTATAAAGGTTGTCCCAAAAATGTTGGCAATCAGCTATACCACAGCCACCTTTACTTCCAAGCCATGAAGTAGAAATTTGGCAACAACGCGTGGTAGTCCGACTGTGGTTTGTTTTGTTTAACATTTCATATAGGAAGGCTTGTAAAGTTTGTTGAATTTAGTGTTTCTTTAACTTTATTCGAATGTTTTATTTGTAAATTGTGTTTAAATCAATTAGAAAATATCAATATAAGTGAAATTTCATTAAATTTAGAACTTTTAGAAGATTCTTAACGACAATTTAAAAGGCAAGTATAAATATAACCTACAAAACAAACTGAAAATAATAATACTTTTGCTTCTTGTTACAAAATATGTAAACTAAAAACAACAATAATAATACTTTTGTTTTTTGTTACAGATGCTGTGGCATTGTTGTGTGACATTTTGCATTGCAAAACCAATTATGCCAGTACTTTAAAAACGAAACAGGCAGAAAGTACGTTTTTGTTTCCCAAAGATCCCCAAAGAAGGTATACTGGGTTATGCTCTATTCATAGAGAAGGCTGTACAATTACCAAATCTTCCCTAGTATGTGCCAAACATTTTCATGAAGATGATATTCAGCGGACTGAACAATGAGAAGATAAAGATGGAAATGTACACATTGAAAAGTTAATATTTCCCAAATTAAAAGGCAATGCAGTTCTTAATATATTTCCTGAAGTACCATCATATGTAACTGTTCATCGTACTAAAGAAAGAAGGAATCCCGAAGACAGAAGAAACTTTTTGCATAAGAAGAGGGAACAAGAGATAACATAATTATGACAATTAGACTTAGACAATAATATCCCATTGAAAAACTGGACAAGTAAAATTACAAGTGACTGTGTATATTTCTATGTATTAAACATTAATCAGTTGGGGCACAAGTGTGATAATATTTGTGTAGGTAATATGTAGTGTAATAGTTAGCAGTAATTTTAGTGTAATCGTCAATGTAGGTAAGAATAGATTAAGAGGTAATGATTTGAAATGGATTTTACAATATAGTAAATTTAGAAGATGGTCACAATTAGAGAACTTACTTTCTCATTTAGATCTGCTTTTTAGATAAGTGATAACAAATTTGAGTATTAAATTCAAAAATCTTTTGAGAATATAGGCTATTTTAAATCGATATACAAGTTATAAATGGTATGTTACATTCACCACATTTTTCATGTATACCTCTTTTAACTTGGTCTATATGACAACAAACCTATTCATATTTAAAATTGCTACTTTCGTATACCTAAGTATGAAAATTCAACAAAAGTTATAAGTAAATAGTAAAATATTTAATTTTTAATTAGATTAATTTAGAACCATATTTATATTGTGTCTGATTTCTTAGGATGAATTTTTTAATAATAATAGTTACACTAAGTTTTTACTAATCAAATTTTATATCTTTTGTATTTTTAATAATCTTTTTAAATGTCGTGTTAATGTATTGTGTTATTTATATGCTTAAGTACTTAATATTTAAAATTTCTAGAGATTCTTGACTGCATTTGATTGTAAGATTAACTGTTTGACAGTGTATTTTAAGTGCAATAAATTTTACTTTAGTGATTATTTTATTGATAATATAACCTAAATAATAATAAAACTTTATATATATTTACTAAGTATATATAAGGTTTTATTAATTTAATTTCCCTAAAAATATTTCTGTAATGAATTGAAGTTTTCAAAATATCAGTTTCCTAAAATTCAAATTAGTTTAATATTCTGGTAGATCTTACAGCTGATTATCGGACTACCGACGTCATAGAATGCGGTGTTGCCTTTTTTACTTCATGGCTTGGAAGTAAAGGTGGCTGTGGCTATACCTTTGGAACTACAACATCTAGAGTGAGGAAAAAATCGTAACTAACTCAGCTAAAAACTTTATAGAAACTATGGAGTTCCAAAGAAGGCCGTTAGAAGGTGCAGTGTAGATTAAACTTTTTATGCTAACTTTAAAATCTTAATTAAAATTGCAAATAATAACGATAGATGGCGCTGCTAAGTTTTGTTTAACTTGCTGTATATCTGTAACTGGTGCAATTTTTACCCCAATTTAGTGTAAAAGTGTTAGAATTGGTATTTACACAATTTTTTTATTAATACCATGAAGTTCTCTCCATTTTTTTTGTAGAATTAAGTGTAAGTGCGTACGTTTCCAAAAATCAAAAAGGTTTACATTATTAGTATTACATTTGAACAGATAAAATAGCTTAAAATGACAGTGGAAACTGTGTATTGATATCTAGATTTGTTTTGATATTGGTTTTGAACAGATAAAATAGCTTAAAATGACAGTGAAAACTGTGTATTGATACCTGTATTTGTTTTGATATTGGAACAATTTCCATTTAATAATAATTTAGCTCTCATATTATATCAACAGTAATAAAACAGGTGTTGCGTTTATATCTATTTTAAAAATTAAGATGTTAGTCAATAATCTTATGAAACGAACTGACGAAAATCAAAATACTGATTTGTTTTTACTTTTTATATTTGCAGATAACTCCATACTTAGTAATTATAAATCTTACCTGTTCAGTCGTGTTAAAAATAAATTTATTAGTTTCACCAAATTATACTAAAATATTTTATTTGGGCTTTAAGATCACTCTACAAATAAATATATCCAATAAATTTGAAGCAATGATTTTTAATGTTATAGAAATTATAAAGCATACCATGAAAATAATAACAGATTCAATTTTGTCAGATGATCTTAGATTCAATTATTGTAATTGCTTAAGAGATATGTGCCGTGAAACTTCTTAAATAATGTACCATAGTCTACAAAGGAAATTGGCAAATTATGCGTTATTGGTTAACACGAAATATTTTTATTGGGTAATAGAAAATTTTTATTAAATACAAAACGTCGCAGTTTGAATGTAGTTTAAATATGTTCAGTATGACATTTTAAGCGATAAAATTATTGAAGTATTTATTTTTTATATTATCTTAGAGAATCATACTTAAATCGTAACAAATTACTGCTACTTATATAGTAACAACAAATTTTTCACACTTTGTCCGCGATTATTTAGATAATGTATTTCTGTATCGGAAGAGGATCATCATTTCCGTGGCTAAACAGAGACTTCAAGATTTTTACTGTGTGTTACTTCTATTTGTAATAATAAAAATTTTGATGCTACAAATACATCCTTTAAAATTCCACGAGGAAACTAAGTTCCTGTAGCTGGCTGTATACCATATATCACAAAAAAAAAATTGTTTAAAATCCTTTATAAAAGGTATATAAAAATGCCCCAAACGGGCTATCACAAACACATTGCAAAACGTTTTCGGATTAAACAATCCATCATCAGTGCAAACGGTTGTACATGCTAGTAGCCACCAAAATATATGGGTCAAAACCCTTTAAATGTTTTAAATTTGTAGTTGTTTTACATTATTAGTAGTTATAATTTGTGATGTTTAAGTTACCGTTGGATAGGTAACATGGCGGCGTATGACTCTACATGAGTAAAAATGGTCCTTTAACTCTAGAATATATTACTCATTTTAATAAAAGAATGCCATATCCAGCTTATTGGAGTCTGTCACTGGTACGCTAACATGATAAAGGTGTAAAACTGATCCGATCTTTCACTCAAAATTTCCGGCAGTATTGAGTTGATTTTTCCACAAACTATCTCTTTGGCGAATTATAAAGTGTGAAAATTCAATGTATATAAAAGATTGTGAATTTGATCGAGAATTTTTCAAAAAGGTATAAGAATAACCAAAACAAGTAAGCAGTGCTACGAGCTATAAGCAATTGAAGCTGCTGAGTAGTGTGTTGCAGGGAATTTTCAGTAAAAGAACAATTAGTGATAATTTATTAAAACAATATTATAGGTGTGTAGGTGAAAATCTGATATTGTTAAGTAATAATTACAGAGGACAAAACTACTGTTGGAAAATGAAGAATTATTTATTATATCTAACAATTTGAGTAAGAAGAAAACTGTCGGTCAGATAGCAAAGTGGGGCAGGTGGCAGAGTTGCATTCGCATCACTGTCTGAATGATTTAGCTTTAGATTTAGGCCCTAGCCTGGGACAGAAAAGTAAAAAAGGCTAACGTAGTAGTTTAAAATTCTAAATAAATCTGTTACTTAGCCTGAAATATGCTGGTGTATTTAATTGACCTATAGATCAGCAGTACAGCAAGGGATGTGGGCTTGCATCTCAGTGATATTCCTATCAGCAGAACGACTGCACCAAATTGGATAATTCTTTTTTGTTGTGATTGTTATTATCAGAGGAAGATTTGTGTAAAATTTTGTACAGAAAGGCCTTGAAACAGTTTTTTTTTGTCATTTTAATTCTAAATATATTATAATATGTTTTAAATTGTTTTTTATTTCTCTATACATATATAAACTCATCTTTACACTAACTGTTATGTAATATATCACCACCCTTTTATATATTATTTAATATATTATTGATAGTTAGAATGATATTATTGATTGATAGGTACTTTAGAATCAGAAAAACACTAACTAGTTATAATTAGCTCACTTATTTTAATTCTAATATACCTTTCACAAAATAAATTATGGAGCTAGAATGTTTATATCATTGTGAAATTATATTGCAACAACAAAAACCACTTATTTTATTTGCATTCAACTCTACAATTTAAAAAAGGTCATAAGTTTAAATTCACAGTATTGATTGTCCAAAATTAAATATTTAGATAAGTGAAATAGAATAATAGATAATAAATTAAGTCAAAAAAGTCATGTAAAAAACATTGCATGGACACTATCAATCTCTGAAAAAAACACAAAATTTGTCAAAACATTGTAGTCAAACCATCGAGCAATAAGACAAAAGAGGCAATGTAAAGGTAGTGGGGGTAAACATATTGATAGACAGGAAGTGCCATCTTGAGAAGCCACTTTAG